TTTGCTTAAAATGTATACACTTGTCCAGATTTTAATAATGTTTCACATTTTACGTCATTTTGACCATTTACACGATTGTTTGGTACGGGCTGATATCTATTTTTTACTATATTTAATATTTTAAAAAATATCCTTTATTATTTGCTTGGAATGTTTACCCCATTTAATTCTAAAATTAAACACTAGAGAGGGCTAACTTCGGCAATAGTGCTGCCTCTTCACGCACGGTCCCTATATATGTTCATAAATATTTGATTTTTACAATGACACAAAGTGTTTACTTCCGCAAATCGCTATGGCAATGCATGGCTTTATTGACGGTTGGCGATAAAAATTATTTCATCGAGACTATCTTTCATAGCACTAGTGAGATGTTTATGATCACAATAGAAAAATTGTTTCTGCTGCTTTTAATTGGTCATAAAACACCTAGTATTCGTACCAAGTTTGATATCTTAAAATGGCTGAATTTTGAAAATTAAAAAAAAAAAAGATTTTAATTTAATTTTGATGACCTCATGTGGCAAAACGAAGCAACTTGGTATATAGTTAAGTTTGGTTAAATCAACTTATTTTGAGGCCATAAATCTATGGCAGCTTCATACACATGTAATTTATTATACTGTATATTAACTATTAATGTAAAATATTAAATTTTATTTTCTAAAAAATTATAAAATCTGGCAACATCTATGTATCAACTTGACCTTTAGTAAAAACAAACAATTTATTTCCCAATAATTAGTTTCGAATTTTTTAATTTTATTATGCTATCTCTAACCAACTTACCTGGATGACAATAATAATAATAAAACTCTCCCTAATTCGCCACCTTACAATTAATTTTAACCCCAAAAGCTGAGCTTGTCCAGGGAAGGGATGAATATTATTATTATTTGCCGTGGCGCTCCGGGGCGACTTAAAGATGATTGACGGTGCCATTTGACTTACAGGTGTGGAAAACCTCACCCTCCATCATAATATATTTAAACATAATTTAAAAAATGTATCAAATTACAAACTCCCAAATAATTGAGATAAAAAAAAAACAAAAAGAATAAAAATAGACACACATTAAATGCATTTTATTTTTCTTCCATAATTGTAAATATTTTACAGATTTTTACTGGTAAGTATGAAAAAGATGGATATTGGGATATGATAAGCACAACACAACTTATTCAAAGAGTAGTTACTTTACATTTACTTCAAAAAAAAAAAAATAATCAGTCAACTAGAGATTCGGTACCTCACTGAAGAAAAAAAGCTTAGTTACACCTTCAGATAATACTGATAAAAAATAAATGATGTGCTATCTATATCACATGTATGGTGGACAGTTTAAAATTTCACCCACAATACAAGTGTATCTCAGTCTATGGGAATTTTAATGTAATAAAAGCACCTTCATGTATAAAAAACTCGTTATATTTGGTCCAACTCGTAATAAATACACTCAAAATTGTTTTGCATATTATTCCGGAATGATAGACTAATTAGTTTTGGGTGCTAATTTTAAAAATACCCCATAATACTAAACATTACATTTCTATTACGCAAACCATTTTTGTGTGTATCTAAAGTTCAGAACTAGATAGAAGTTTAAAAAATACATTCACTGTTTCGATTTAACAAAGTTTATGTTTTTGGTATACGTGGCAGTCAAATAAAAAGTACAATAAAAAATATACCGAACAAAAGTCTTCCACAAGTTAACTGAAATATTATTTTTGAGATGTGCAGCATCCACACTTTGCAGGGGACGCGAAAAAGAAGATGAGACCATCGAGCACATCCTCTAACGATTGCCCGACGCTCTCATTTATTAGAATATTTGTGTTCGGCGAGAATTGGCTAAATATAAGAGAAGCACCTCTTGGCGACGTTGTCAACTATATTAAATCTGTAGGTTGGCTCATGAGCTAGAGGGTGCCTATCTACTTAGCAGGATGCACACTGGGCCTAAGTGCCGTGGGTTACCCCACCCTCCACACGTTAAATACAGAGAGATCAATTATCTGTCTCACACATGGTCCTATTATACCTTGATTCCTTGTAAAATAAATTGTCTGCGTTTTGATTTACGTACCTGTCTATATTACCCTTGAAAATATCCTGTCAAATAATAAACTAGTAAAATTTAAGTGTTTTGTCAATTTAAAATAAAACCAATTTATACAATCCGCATTATAAGCAATAAATTCATTTTTTATGTTAATAATTTTGTTTAATCCTAACACCTCATTTTGTTATTAAAACGAAAGTCTATGTCGTAACAATTTTACCTCTTACGTCGATTCACTTGGAGGGGTAGCTACCTCTTTAATTTTTTAATAGATTGATAAGGCTGGCGATACGTCATTTGAAAGGGATTTTATTGGTATAGAGATGTCATGGAATAGCTTTTAGAAGTACTTGTGCATCTGTTCCAAGTAGAAACCTATTCCAGTAGTTCATAATTATTCCCACTAAAATTAAATGACAGAACGTTGATATTTGACAACAACTGCTTGGCAGCTTGGTCACACATGAGTCAACGAATATTATAAACAATTAAATGGCTGTTAAACTAGGTGTAACTGAATATTTCTAAAACTATTAAAGGTTTCTGATATATTGCCGTTAATTAAACACAAAATAAGAAATTCATTCATTATCGGAATAATTATTTCCTACAGAAAGGTTTACACTTGTTGCCAGTGCTAGCATACTAGGAATAGGTTTATCTGATATTTGGCAGATTATTATTAATAATACAATAATAATACATACCCATTATAAGTGAATTTTAACTCCAAAAACTGTGCTTGTCCGGGGAAGGGACAGTTATTATTATTTGCCATGGAGCTGGGTTGTTTTTAGTAAACTGCTATGTGACGTGCTTTCAACTGCTACTGGCTATAACAAGTCGCTGCTACCTAATATTAGTTTAGCATTTTTACTAATATTCCAATACACACTCGCTATTGCTAATCCCATATTGTTTCCGTCTTCCCGTGTTTAACTAAGTTGATATGCCTTCTGTTCGGAGTTATTTATTTAACCTGCCTATTTAAAAAAAGCAGTTTTCCCCATCACTAATTTGGTAATAGGTATGCACAACAGATTAAGAGAATAATTCCAGTTCTATTGTAATATCTCAATTTGCTCTACTCATGTTATTTTTTATCATTAGATAATAAAATTTAAAAAAATTAGGGGTAGATACACCTTTAAGGAGATCGACATGAACAAGTAAAATTGTTACGATTTTATTTGAAATGTTTTAGAATTTTTCAAAAAATATTAAGAACATTAAAAATAAATTTGTTCGTTATTTTGCCGCTTACAATATATTTTGTTAACGATCGCGACAATAAAAAAAACACCTGAAAATGTATTCTATTAAGCAAATTTTTTGACATTTTCAACATAAAACCATCACTAAATGTGAATGTGTAACGTACTTTCATTAAAATTACTTTGTATTTGTAATAATTAAAACAGTTATTTCCGTTTATCTTTTATATAGTAAAAATAAAAACGTTTATGCAAATAATAATAATATTGGCAACTGACTATACCAAAACTCTCCTGCCAAAGGGAAATTTTATGTCGATTTAACCTAAATTACTAATAAATGCTTCAAAAGGGAGCTAGAGCTCTTAAGTTGGCGTCTTCAAGTCAATTTTTTCAACATACCTCATAAACAGTGTTGTTCCTAGTTGTACAAAAAGTTGTACAATCAGTTATGCGGTTGTACGCATTTTTGAAAAAAGACAGAAATGTTGTACAATTTGAATTGCTAAATATTTATTCAAATCGGGTATATAAAAGCTTTTCTTCGCTCAAAAAGTCTACGATTCGTTAAATAGCATGCATTAAAATTAATAAAAAAAATAACAATTTAAATTTGGAGCCATTCACGACCAATCAGTACACCGTTTAACATCGAAAATACATTTTAAACTGGAAAAAAAGAAGAAATTTAAGCATGGGGAAATAGTAGGCCATAGTCTGTCAATAAAAAAAGAAGATTAATTAGTGGTTGTACAATCGAACGTAAAAGTGTACAATTTTGACACTGAAAGTTGTACAATTCAAAAATCCCTAGGAACAACACTGCTCATAAATGTTAAACTTTACACATTGGTTAAGCTTCTAATGAACAATCGACCCCTGCAAATGAGATTTTTCTATTGTAATCAAAAGGGGCTGAAATGGGGAGGTCAACAGACATTTTCAGTTATAATTTTTTTATTTTCATATTTTTGTAACATTTTTTTATGTAATATTTATAAATTGTGAGGGACCTTCTAAAAATAATCTACCCTTGTTTGAAATCGCTACGACGCACCGTTTTTGAGAAAATCTAATATAAACTTTTTGTTTTTTTGCGATTAAAAAATTAATTTATTACAATACCAATTTGGATGTGATAAAACAAACAAAAATTGTCATAGGTAAATTGGAAATAAAGTCAAAAAATTAGTAATATTGTAGTTTTTGAAGTATATTAGAAAAATACTCGAAGGCGTCAAGTTCAAAGAGCCTCTATCTCCTTTATGAAGCAGTATAGGATCTAGGTCAAGACGATATAAAATCAAGCCTAAAACCTGTGCTTTCCATTTGGTGAGAGTTCTAGGATTGGTATATCATAACGCCCTTTCAATTGATCAAAAAAATATTAAAAATCCGTAAAATAAACTTTCTTGGCTGTATTTACTTTACGGCCGCTTTTTATAAACAGTTTATCATACTTATCGTTAGTAATTCTGTACAATAGAATTTTATTCGATCAAATTTGAAACTATTCTTGCATTTAAATCTCTTTTCAGAAACAAGAATGTAAAAAAAGTTGGATGTTGCATCTCAATCACATATTTTATGGTCAAACAAGAAATTGCTTGGCCACGGCCGCAAATATCTGATTAGGCCAAAAAAGATCAACTTTACGGTATTGGTACATATAACTATTTATATCCAATCTGATAATTAGAATATTAACAATTTTTTCTTGCCTCGTATAGCCAAAATTGTTTAGAAGTTTCCCAATCAATTTAAATGTCATCTGTTGATGTTAGTTAAATCTTTAAAATTGTACTTGAAACCATACCTAAGATTTTAACTTCTGCCTAGACCTGACTGTTTATATAAACAACTTGAGAAGGTTGACAGATGTCAGTTGTCAGCTTTGTTAACTTGTTTAAAATTCCTATAAACGCGCGACTATATTGGAGATAAAACAAATTCAGCTGTCATCGTAACTAATTTGCAAAGGTTCGCCCGCAATTTTTATCAAGTTGCCAAACTTAACAAAGATGCTAAATATAACATTCGAGGGACACGTTTGATAAGTAGGTGATACAATTAACGAATAATCTTCACCATAGACTGAGATATAGAACTATATACACAGAATAGCCAACATCATATAGCCATTGAAATTGCACGGATAGAACAATTTATACAATGCAGTGTCTAATGGGATAAAAGTCATCTTTTTTTACAATGCAGTGCCTCTCCGGAGGGTGTGTCAAAGAAGTTTTTCCGATAGTCCAAGAATTCGTTCACACTAGGTAAAATAATATAAAAAATAACAATTAGGCTCTTATAGCTACTTAACTAACTAAACTTTTGTACACTTTCATTTTTTTTCTTTAAATAATTTACACAATAGTTTTTTTTTCTCATATTTTTTTCACTTTGAGTCCGTTCCTGTACACCAGTCACTTTTGCGTTTAGGTCACCTATGCGTCGAATCGTTCATATCAAACAAAATTTGTGCTATTGTCCTTGATGATTCTACATTGCTCAGCGCCACATTAGCCAAGTGGGATTCGTGTGATTTTAAGTACCTGAAAATAAATAAGAAATTATTAATTTTCAATTTAATTCGAAATACTGACACCTAAAAAATGTAAAGTTGCCACGTCGATTTTTGTTTTTCCTTAAGTATTTTAAACTTTTTTATTGGTAAATTGCATAACATATATTTCAAATTTTAATCAATTAGAAGATGGGTGTCTGTTGGGACTATATATAAGATAGGGGCGTTCAAAAGAAAACCTGCATAATATTATTTTTGCAAAAAAAGCGACACAGTATTAACGTTACCAGACACAGGTTTAGTCACCTATAACTGGAATGTCGTTTCTTTTCCTGCGAGTGTGAGTGCCATTTACTATTCACTCCAACATAAGTGCAACAGGACCGAAGGTTTGATCTTTCCAGGACTGTATTCGCACTATTCGCTCCGTGCGTGACAGCAGCGCCAAGTAATTTATGAAATAATGGACGATATTTGCGTATATTGATAATACAATTTTTAATAGAATTAGTAATTAAAAAATATATGTTCATTTTAAAAATATATGGATTTGTAAAACAAGTGAAAAGATTAATTTATTATTATATATTTTTAATGCTTCAGTTAAAAAAACTAAGTATAATCAACAAAAATCAATAATAAAACATAGACAGGCAACAGAATTTACGAGAAACTGTATGAGAAGTTGCCTAAGCCTAATAAGTTGTCATTGAAGAATAGGTTAAATGTCAAAATTAAAAAATTACCATTAAATAATAACGTGGAATAAAAATGTATTGACAAAAGAAAAAAAATTGGTTTATTTGCGATTGAAATTTATATTGTTTTCATTTTTAGTTCGAAAGAAAACATAATATGATTAAAATTGGTTTCTTATCAATAAGTTATAAAATTGCATTTCAGCTACATACAATAATCAAAGCCAGAAATCTAGTACTTGCTGAACATTTAGGATTTAAGGGATGTTGAAGAACATCATAAAATGATAATTTATTATTTATTTAAAACCTTCCATTTTTCTGATGACTATTTCCATTTTTACTGTTATTATAACAAAAATAAAGGTACTTATTCTTCTTAATGTAATTGTAAAATGTATACGAGTATTTGATACGCCAAAATTACAAAATATCGCCCAAATTATCTGCAGCTTGCGCTAGTATCGCTTTTTCTTCCCTTGCCATGACTGCACTGAGAGAATAGATAAACTCTAGCTTAGAAAGTATTAGTGTTTTCGTTAAAATAAGAAAGGATTTAAAAGACAACCAGCCAATGGTGCTTTAAATGACAAAAATGATATGTCACAGCATATAATCTCAAAAAATATTAAACACTTAAACAATGTGTCTACTTAAGTCAGCACTATATGGGAAACTTTTTTTTATACTACTTTTATGAAAAAAAAGTAATTCTTCATAAAAAGTTCTGCGTGATCTAAAACCTAAAATTAAACCATCAGATATCAAATTTTTTTAGTCATATTCAAGGATCATCCAAAATTATGAATTATATGAAGTACTTTTATTTTTAATATTATCGAAAATTGTTAAGAAAAGTTGATCAGAATTGAAAACCAGGGTCACATATCGAATATTATCCATCTATGAAACATCTTTAATGGTTTTTAGCATAAATACGAATTATACATTTAATTTTGCAATCATTAAACTGGTTTTTCATGATAGATAATATTGAATATCTAACAGTAATTTTTAATTCTGATCAACCTCAAACATGGCTGAAAAAATTTGATATCTAATGATTGTACTTTTGGTTTTAGATCATGCAGAACTTTTCATGAAGAATAACTTTTTCATAAAACTAATAATAAAATATTAATTAATAAATACACTGTGAAATGTGTCAAATTTTCATATTTAAAAACAAACTGAACTGCATTATAGGGTATGACAAGATTGAGATGACAAGTCATCTTATTAGATTCGCACTGGCAAACCTAAAAATGGGAGGAGTTATCTCAGTTAACACAAGTGAACATAAATATATCACTAAAACAATAGCATCGAAGTTCAGCACATTTAATTCTAACTTGCTATCTCAATTTTGTTGTACTAATTTCAAAGGTCCTTTTATAATTTTTATTAAGTAGGTGACAAAGAATATTGACCCATTGTAATAAACATAAAAAAAAAGATAAAATATATGGTTTTAATCAATAATTAAAAACTTTTATCCCATCTTGAAAAAAAAAAAATTGACATAAACGTTACTTTGTATGTTTCTGTGTAAAAAGAAAATTCTGAATGCTTTTTATTTTATGAATCATAAAAAAATACAGCAGCTACAAATTTTTACAATTTCAAAAATTTATTTGCAACTATAAAGGAAAGTGTTTAATTGAAATCCATTTTGACTTAATGCAATACTTTCCGTGTCATCGGCATCAACTGCTATGGTTATTAGCCTTGTGTTCGGTGTAGGCTGTTTCCCAGCGTCACTTTAGGAACAGCACTTTTAATTGAGAACCAAACCGTGAATGGTCGAGTGGAGAATCCTACCTATGCATTAGAATTAATATTCAATTCGTCAACTTAAATAAAAAGTTTATTTCCAGAGGGATTTGAACCCAAGAACCTTCGATCTCAAAGTCATGACTAATCACTTAGCCAACCCACTGTTCTTTGTCATCATGGTTTTCAGATTCTGTTTCTAACACACAGTTATTGAGTAATTTTAAAATAAAATTTTCCCCATTGAACATCCTGTATCTCCTAAACAGGCAATATTTTTATAAGGCATGTTGGACTGAATTTTTATATTTTGGTGTTTATTATCTATAGTTCAGAGACGTTCCATTCTTAACGAATCACCCTATATTTATATTAAAAACAGACTGTTATTGGGGTTTAATAAGTTAAATAGTAATTGACAGCGAAAAAAAGTAAAAACAATCTAAATAAATATATGTTAGTTACCTCTTACAATGACTGCTGTAAATAACAAGATTCCTTAAAATTAGAGATGCTGTCAGACGAATACTTTTTGTAACTGGCCCCTCATTGTCATCCTATAAAAAAAAATCAATATTAGCATTTTATTTAAACGAATGTTCTTCTTAGAAGTCCTGTCCTAAGCAAATAGAGATTATATTAATTTACGTAAGAAAAATAACTATGAAATAAATAAATCTTTACAATACAATCCAAATAAAGAACAAAATCTCTGGTATATAATTTAAGACTTCTAAGGTGAAATTGTTGATTCACAAACCATGCTCTAAATTAAAAAAGGTGATTAAATTTTGGTGCGTTTCTACAAACTAAAAAATAAATTAACAAAAGTATAATAAATAAAACAATCATGCTTTTTTTAAACAGAGTTGATCTGGAACCTGCAACTCGATAAACACAGTTGCACCTCTGCACGATACATTGGCCTAGTGATGATGATGAAATTGTCAGAAAAAGATGAATCGGTCATTGAGTGTTGTAATTCCAGTGCAATGGTGTAACTGTGTTCAACTACCATTCCTTTGTTTTACAATTTCTGTTGTTTATTATTTACTAAATTTCTATACAAAACCTGTTAAATTTATTAATAATCATTTATATTGTTGAAATGTAAATGCTATAGCATTTTTAAATGTAATTAATAAACTGAATATGGTAATTTAAAACACTAGTGAAAAAAAAAAAGATACACACTGGCTCACAATAGACTTAATTTATCCATTAGTCAGTAACAGTTTAGATATTATAATTAAATAATGTGTGTTAAAACTATGTTTATAAATATATAAGGGTTTCTTAACATAAATATTCACAGAAGACATGAAGAATAAACTTTTTCATTTCTTTTTAATTTTTAGCATATTTATCAAGTAAAAACATTGTGGTTTCTTCAAATTTTAAATTGATCATAAAAATATTGTTATCTCAAACTGTTTTGAATAATGTTGAAATTTTGTTTCTTGTATTATGTCAAGCATAAATAAAAAATGAAATAAAAAACAAATAACGCACAATGGTTGAGGAATCCAAAAACTTACAAAAAAAAAACCTATTAATTTTTTTTTTATTATTTTGCATCAATCTATTTCTGAATAAAGTATATGAAATTAAAAAGCATAGTTTTCAAGAGAAACTAACAATTTTTTTCAATATTTAATGTTATAAAAACTGAAATGTTAAATATATTCACTTGGTAGTTGATTATATTTAAACTAATTAAGATTGCATATTTTTCATTTTAGTAAAGGTACCAAGACAGCATTAAGATGCTATATAGGTGCACTCAAAACAACTAAAATTTTCATTTTAAAATACAAGTCTGTACCTATACATATTTGTAGGATAAGGAGCAACTTTAAAATTAATTACGATTTTAAATTGAATTTGTTAAATACTTTTAAGTTAACAATTTTGTTTCATAGGAAGAATACTTAAAACTGCACCGTGCAGCAAATTTTGTTTTCCAGAATCCAAAACCATTGTGTCAAGTCAAGCAACAAACATTAAAGATGTAACACTCACTATAAGCCGACACCTCACCTGGTCGGAAGAAGGTGGGGGGCCACCACGGGCGATAACAGCTGTTAAGCCAGCAGTGACAGGTTTTGTAGATTTCAGCTTGACAAATTATAAAAATTATTCTATGTTAAAAATAGATATAGTTTGTACACATTTTTATTTTAAAATAATTTACACGCGATATTTTCGTTAATTATATAGTATTAATTCGCAGCTCTATACAATTAGGGTCAGTATAACTACATTTATAAATTTGAAAGAGCACAATATATTAAAAACTGTAAGATTAAGATCAAAATAATTATTCAGAGCTTGTTTTGTTTCTTTTATGTGTGAATGAATTTGTCAACTGTATCAACTGGAATCTACTGTTTCGTACGTACTAAAACAAGCTATACAATACATTGAAATTTTTTGTTTTTAACTATTTATAAATTAATTCTCGTGCAACGAGAGAGGTTATTATACGTAGATAAAGTGTGGGGTATAGTTAAGAGAAACACAGTAAGTTGATAAAACGAATAACATATTTAAAACGGTAATTACGGTAAAGCCATACGAAATCAAAATAATTTTCAGTCTTTACTTACAATCAGTTGTATAAAATAAAAATAGATATAAACAAAAAATACGGATATTCTTAATAAGCAGTGAAAACCCTAAAGTTACTTAGCAGTAGGATTAACCTAATAAAAACTGTTTACAAAATTAAAGTTTCATATAAATATAATAAAAATAAATAAATCGCCAACACAGATATTACCACCAGTATTTCCAATCAGTAGTGAAAACCTTCAAGTTGACTAACAGTATAATCAACATGATGAAAAGGTTTACAAAAATTTAAGCTTTGTGGAAATATATAAAAGAAATAAATCAGCACTACAGATATATTCACGGTATTTCTAATTAGTAGTGAAAACATCCAAGTCGATTAACAGTAAAATCAATACGAAAATGTTTTCTAAATTTCAGCTTCGAAATAAGAAAAATTAGTTCTGCATTTTTAGATTATTTTCGAAACAACTTGTATCCTAATACGTTAAAATAAAGCTTTATGACAATGACAATAAATTAAATAAATAAATGACACTGTATTCATAATAAAACTTAACAGTATAATTAACGTAACGGAAATATTTCCAAAATAATAGTTTGCATATTGTTAAGTGAGCCATTTCATTATTCAGTCATGCTCTAACCCTACAAGTCCCTCTCTGTCTTATTTGGCCTTTGAGGCTCAACTTGTCCGATTATTATACATAATTAAACCCCTTAAGACCAAACCTATGGGACGACTATGGTGGAGACACTTTCGCGAACATTCCAGGATCAACGAGATACTATTTCTAGAACGTGATAACGTTTCTGGTACATATTGGCAATTTTGGTGGGGGAGCATTCTAGATCACCAATTTGTATATAAATTGGTGGAGGAGAGCCATCAAAGTCAGTAGATATATGGACAGTGAAGATAAATAGTAATTAGTTGATAGACAGTGGTGAATATAAATAGTGATCAGTCTAAAGACATTCGAAGTATATATAAATTAAAATAATCGTGTTATAAAATAAATAAGTGTTTAAATAAATTATTAATAAATAAACTGTTGTTTGAAAATAAACAAACATCACAATATGAATACAATTATTATCATTTTAAAATAATCTATTTATTTCTATCAACATTACTATCAAAAAGGAATATTTTCTCGCGATAAATTCAGAAAAAAGAAAGTTGCGGCGTCGGTCAGCGGAGCGGTGTTAGCCCCGGGATTATGGTTGGATTTACAGAAAAATTAAACATGACTCAGATGTTATGGTTTGGTTGCTGTTTTAAAGAGCACTTTCAAGAGAATGCGGTTAAATACGGGTGAAACAGTCACCGATAAAAGAGCAACGTTGTCTCCTGATCGACGGTCTGGAGTGAATTAAAGTCACTGATTAACGGAATACTGAATAGTCTATTGGATATTGAGAAATTTAGTCGTTGAAACGTCTGTGAGATCTTACGAAGCTTCAGAAATCGCAAAACGGTATACAATACAGAACTGGAAAGATTATTTTTTATGGAATATACAAATCATTTCTTTGCTAATATTCAACACGGCGACGTCCGATCAGGAGAACAATAAATTAAATCTTAATAGAAGGTTAATAGTGAGACTCCTATCATAGTTTTCCAGTTTTCACGGACAGTGAATAAAAAAAAATTACGATATTAACAGTAACAGTGTTACTTAAAAATCAATTCGGAATCTCGCACTGGAAAGAGGCATAATTTGCAGAAATCTCGGCTTTATAGTCGGAGGCCTGAAAAAACGTCCTTTTTGACATCTAAAATGACCTGATAATTTACATGAATTTGAGCGTTTAAAGAATTTCGGAATCATATATTTTGAACCACGGGGGTTCTCGCAAATGTTTAAAAACGGAAATTTTTAAGAACTAAATATTAATTTGAACTGAAACATTTTATAATGAAACGATCGTAAAATCAAGTGATCTCATCACAATACTAAGTCATTCCCGATAAAAAAAAACAATTGGACAATCTTTAATTTCTAGCATGACGTTCCTGAAATGTATCAGGATTTTTATAAAAACCTTCAACAAGGAGAAAACGTAGCAGATGAGGAAAACAATACTGATGGAATGTGAAACGTAATTGATAAAGGCTAACCTATCGAAATAACGAGTAACAAGAATTGAATTTATAATTTGTTTTTCTAATGTTAAAATAACCTTTTTTCTACGAACTCTTACAAAGACATCTTTCGCCACAGGATACTTTCAGCGAAAACTTGATTTCCGTCACTAGTGAGAAAAAATCCCATAACGTTTACTTTCGTCTCTAGTGACGAAAGTAACTTGTTACATATTTTCATATATCAGTCGCCTCGTTTAATATTTTGGCAGCTTATAATTATTAATAATGAAATAAAAAGATGCTCATTAAATTCTATATGCGTTTTTACCTAAACTTTAATGAATTAAAGATAAAATAAAAATGTATAAAAATAGTGCAAATTAAACCAATCTACATCTAGTTTCCTGGTTTTCATTTGTTTATTTGAAGTTTTATCACTTTTGAGAACTGTCAGTTTCAGTTCGTCCTAAATTTAACACATTTTCATGATGTCTGAGTCAGAAAGCGATTGTACTCCCCCAGAAATTATTTTTAAAGCTGAAGAGACCTCTTCAGATTTACTACCGGCCAAATCAAAAAAGAGATATGAAGAAATTTATATCAAATTTTTGGACTGGAGAGAAAAAAATAAAGTGAAATCATTTTCGGAAACTGTACTACTAGCATACTTTGGAGAAATATGTTCAAATTTTAAACCGTCGACGTTATGGTCCATTTATTCGATGCTAAGAACTACACTCTCTGTTAAAAATGATGTCGATATTAGTAAATATCCAAAGTTACGTTCGCTTTTGAAAAGAAAATCTGATGGTTTTAAAAGCCAAAAATCCAAATTTTTTTCGCCTGAAGACATAAAGACTTTCCTAAAGAATGCACCTGACTATAAATATTTAATAACAAAGGTAACGGAATTATTATTTTTATTTTAACAAATACTTAATACATAACTACTAATATTTGTAGGTAGCATTAGTTTTTGGATTATCTGGCGCTTGTCATTGCCACGAACTAAAAGATTTAACAATAAGCGATGTAAAGGATACTAGAAGTATCTCGCGAACATTACCAACCTCGGCTTCGCCTCGGTTGGTAAATTGTTCTCTCGCTTCAAAAAAATGTTATTTTCGTCACTCGTGAAACAATATACTATTTTTATACATTTAGTTACTTGCATTTTTTAAGTAAATAAAGATTTTGTTTTTTAAATAGATTTATTTATTGAACCTAAAACAATTTGCAATATATATTTTTTTTTTTTTTTAACAATGACTTTGTAAATTTCTAATATAAACTCGTATCTTCAATTGAAAATATTTAAAATTAAAATTGATTTCTAGTTTCAAAAGTGTAATTTATCTACAAAAATATTTAACTACCCCTCTGAAACTTATTTAGCAAGGTTAATAACAACTATTAACGATGAACTAATTTTTTTACCCACCACTTTTTCTACTGCATTTTTATATTTAGATAAGATATCGATTAGAAATAGAAAAAGATTACATCCTATTTTTTTCAACTTACATTTTTAAGTTTTGAATATTTTTTAACTATTAAAATAATACTAAAATAAAATTATAATAACTTTAGATTTTAAAAAATTTCAAATCTTAATTTTTAACAATATTGTAGTTAATAAAAAATCCTAAAAAATTGGAACACATGAAACATCAGAAATTTTCGAATTACGGTGCTCTTCTTTGCGAGCGTCGAAAAGTTGTTTGTGATGTAGATTTCTATAATTTTTATCGTTTTCATGGATTTCTATAAAAATAACCGTAATTGAGAAATTTGAGGAAAAGCGAAAAATTTTAATTTTCTCAATATTTATTTGGCAATAAAGATATGAAACAATATTTAAAAAAAAAAAAAACATTTGTGGAATGTTTTTACCTTAATACACTCAATACTTGGTTCTAAAAGGGTCAATCTCAGAATTTTATAAATTAAGTTGTGTTTAACATTTTATGAAAAGTATTAGGAGTTGATTAACTTTATAAAGTGAATGTTTTTCATAGCACTTATGGAATTACGATAGTTTTAGGGATGCTTTTTTTTTTTCATGTACATATGAAGTGATAGTTATTTTTATATGTCCTCAGAATATATTTCATATTTACAAAATCTTTGCTTTTCCCCCAAGACATAGATTTGATAACTTTACTAGAAAGTCATGTGTTGAACACATCAGATATTTGTAAAGAAAAAGGTACACAGCCCCAATGCTGGCACATACCGATGTGAGAAATGATTAGTTGACAGCTAATATAGTGCCTGTCCAGAATAATATTGTACTAACTCCATTTTGTAAATTATTACAGGAGCATAGATCTCTCTGGAGGTAGTGTAATGAAATATCCTAAATTTTAGTACACATAAGTTTAGTAATGAAATACTAAGGTAACAAAACTGCATACTTTAAATATTCTCACTAATACAGGTATATGCATTACATAATTTCCCTTTCCTATAAAAATTTATATAATAGAGTTATGACAATATTATTCTGAACAGGCGATAGATCAAGTAGGTGATTGAGGAAGGATTTGTGATATTTTCTATGCATCGCCTTGTGTTGTTATGATTGGTATAGATAATTCGCTACCGACCATAGGTGGGAAGTCTACGTTCGGACTTTTTGTTATTACCATACATGATAGTAAATAAAGGGACTTATTTATCTCTAAATGGGTAAATAACTAATGTTCCTTCCATTTTAAATTGAATTAATGAAATAATAAATTGTGCGGGAAACTTTATGAATATGAATATAGGTTAAGTTGAATATATTGTTACGCTGGTTTTTGGTATCACAATTTATTTGAACTCAACTTTTACAATAACTCAATTCAACTGACACAATAACTTTAACTGATAACATTAACGTCTATCATAAAACTCCCCTCTGACGTCAGATCGTCGACTTATATAGCTTGCCTCGTCCTTCTAGAACGTTCTCGAACAATCTGGACTTTTCTTTGACAAGGAATGACATTTCGGGTATATTCTATCTTCTTTATTTACTTGCACCTTTACTTATGATGACCGCAGCACGCTACAGGGTGCTGCGTAACAATATGTATCTACTTTTATTGAGGTCCCATAGAATCTATTTGCGGCCGTCTACATTATAGTTCAGCCTACAATCAACACCTTATAATTAAGGCCATAGTTGAGTTTAGTGAACATTGTAGTAATTGTTTTACCACCTAATTATATAGAGCTTGAATTAAAATTCGCAATAAACATTTTAAAACTAAAAAAGGATAAGAAAAAGACTTACTTGTAATTCCTTCGGATTGACAAATTCCAAAGCATGCCTTTTGATTGCATGTAAAGCTGCATCAGGTGCATATCCTGGATGCGGACTAGGGGTTGCGGGTGAAACGGGCTCCGGTTTGTTAGTGTGAGCTGCCTGTTTCCGTTTCACCAAACTTTGTTTCATTGCCTTTAAAATTGAATGATAATTGTTAAGTCTTAAAAATATTTTGAGTGCTTATTAAATTATACAACTATAAACACAGTACTGTATTATATCCCTGAAGTTGCTTTCCTAACCTGTATTATCATTTACTTAATCATTTGTATTTATAGCTAACTAAATTATTTATTTTAAAACTATGTGGTCTTACCTCCGTGTTACAATGTTTATCATGGAGATGGGTCATGAGAGAAAACCTTTTTCTTTTCATGTTGTCGCACCTATCCCACTGGCAGGTTATCTCCTCACTTCCCGATGGACAATGTGAAGCTGTGGCATGGAGGTAAACTTCGTTTGCTGATTTGAATATTTTGTCACTGCAAAAAAAAAGGAAAATATAGTCAAGTGTTTTTTTTTCTCATCTAAAAAGTTGTCAAAATAATAATTATAATACAATCAACAATTCTTAAATATTAAGAAAATGTATTTTTACATGGTTCACCTTGTCAAGGGCATTGGAAAAGTCGGTAGACACAGAATCTACCTGTAGACCCTTTTCCAAAGCTTCAGACAGAAAGTTGGCATATGTTAATTTAAGCCCAGTTCAGCGAAAAACCAAATTGTTGGAAATTTAAGATATTGGAGAAGTTGTATGTTAGAAAATCAGTTATTATACTTTCAAAGATTGTTGGGATTGTGCTTAGGATGGAAACGGGGCGATACTTTTCTGCATAAGATTTGTTGCCCGATTTGTAAATGGGAGTAACATTCACCTGTGCTCAGTGATTTGTTAAAGATATGGAAAAGTGGTCTAGATAATACAAAATTAAATTTTGTGAGGAAAATGGGTGGAATTTTCATCGGGCCGGGCACTTTATTAATGTCAAGTGTTGACAGCTTTTCATAAATCTTGGAAATTTGGATAAAGTAAGAAGATAAGCATATTACAGATTGTATTTCACTATCATTTAAATTAAGGGTTCGTATATACAGAAGAAAAATGAGTAGCAAATAGATTTGCAATGTCATTACTGCATCAAGCTAAAATATTGTTGGTCATTAAGTCAGGTAAGAAAGATTTTCTCTTGTTTTTTACAAATTTCCAGAACGCTGTAACATTATTTACAACTGAATTCTCAGTACGGCTTACGTAACAAGCATAATACTCTTTTGATAACATTTTGCATTGAGCTCTGAGTTAACTGAAATAAATGTAATGTTCAGGAGACTTAGTACATTTATAAGTTCTGTGGGCTACCTTTTTATCACGTAACAACTGTCTAAGCTACGGAGAATACCATCAAGGGAATGTACTATTTCTGATACGAATTCGAAAACTTTTTTTTTATTAATGGAGTATGCATGCAGAAACAGACTTTAAAATCGTGAGGATGCCCTTTAAAATTGTGATTTTTGATTTTTTCATATGTCATAAGATCCTGACCAATTGTATACAGAACTACCCCTGAGGTACCCCCTTTCTAACAAAAAAGAATCATAGAAATCGGACGTGGTAAAAAATTATCCCTGAAAATACTTAAAAAATTAAAGTTTCATGATGTTCTCATGGACCTCATTATTAGATATTAACCAAATTTATATGGGACCACCACTGAGGTAGGTACCCTCTTTCTGACAAAAAAAAAAGAATTATAGAAATCAACCACATAGTGAAGAATTATCGCTGAACATACATAAAAAAAATATTCCGACGAATTGAGAACCTCCTCCTTTTTTGAAGTCGGTTAATAATGAGTAAAATTGTTTTTACTTACATATTACAATCGATCCATTCACAAATGTATGGCGTAGTTAAATCTCTTGCCTTCTTCTTTATTTCCTCCTCTTTCTTTCTCTCAGTCATTATATTTACGTTTTGTGTTTGTGTAGTATTAGTACTTGTATTACTAGAGGCCACTGATTTAATTACTTTGGTAACAGGTGGTAAGTTGTTGGAAACCGATGAAGTGTGCATAACTGGCCTAGGAACTTGAGTTACTACAACCTGCAAAACAATTTGTTTGAATTACTTTTTAATAGTTATTAATATAGAGAATAAAGATGTACATATAACAAATTTTCTATTTTAATTATAATAAAAATTTTATTTTCAGAATTATATACTGAAAAAAAAAAAATCGATTTTATTATTTAAAAAATTGAATACATTACTTTTATTTAAAATTTGGAATATCCAGAGCATTATGTTACAAGTGCGTTAAAATAAACCTGTCATACATCTATTTCCATATTTTAACCTATACAATTTTGATTTTATTTTTAAAAACTAACCTGCTGTCCTTGTGGGGTGACCACTACCTTCTGATGCTGTTGAGGCGTCCCAGGCGGCGGTTGCTGTTGCAAAATAATGATAGTCTTTGCACCAGTGCCCTGTTGCTGTGCTGTCTGTGCTAGCAGCACAGTCTGTGGCTGTGACCCATGGACCATACCGGTTTGTGGTTGAGCAACTACGTATTGTTGTCCACCTCCACCTGTCTGAAGTACATACTGACCAGGCTGCGAAGAAGCGACGATTTGCATTTGACCCTGGAGGCCTTGGGAAAGAAGGATCTGACCCCCGCTGTTTTGTTGGGCAAGCATCATGGAGCGTTGACCAGATGTATTTTGAACTATAACAGTTTGGCCTGTTTGTGTTTTCATGGGAGTACCTGTGAAGTAATAAATAACTATCTATTTCTCCTTTTGAGTTTATATCTTTTATGTTTATTTAGAGACCTTTTTAGAAGAATATCTTCCGATTACCCTTTGTCTCGATGGGAACACGTTGAGGTAATTTTGAATTCATTTAAAGATGATTTTTATTCTTAAGTTGCTTATGTATGCGATGATGTACGTGATATTGACCTTTCTTTTATACTTTGATAAGTAAGATGTGACTTTTATTTTTTGTATAGTTTGCTGTAACTGCTATTCATCTTTTTAGAGTCCCAATACCAAAAATTGTATTGAATAGATATCACGAATAAATAAAATAGGACAGCTCAATAATTTTCAGATACAGTACAAAAGAAATAATATAAACAAGAGTACCTACTATATTTTTTAAAGCAATTTAATCAAGCTATAACGAGTTTGATTGAGGAAAATAAAGAAAATATTTGAAAACTTTATATTAGATAAGAGGAATGAGGGGTAACCAAACATCACATAGCTACTAGTGAGGTAACTTCATTGTGGAAAAAATGTTGATTCATTCTTTGTTGCATAACACTATCCAAATGTATCAAGTATGATTATCAGCTATTAGTAAATGATATATGATTATTGATTACACAGCCATATAAAAAAATTTTTAGGTCTGGGGTCCAGACAATGTTTTCCAAATGTTTTTGGGGTTTCTGAATTCGAAACCGGGGTCCATTTTACCCTATCACGTTATGACTTTGCCATAACCTCAAAAAAAAAAAAACAAACAATAATATAAGTCCGTGACTCAAACTTTAAACACAAAAGCCAAGCTGTTAACTCCAAATCCTTAACCTTATAACCTCATAATGCAATAGCTACATAACCTTAAAAAACGCTATAATTTATAGCCACACAAAACAAAAAAAAATTCGGGTCTGGGGATCAGATCATATTTTCTACATGTTTTTGGGTCGTTGAATGCATATAAGCCTGTAACTCAAACTTTAAACACAAAAGCCATGCACTTAACTCCAAGCCCATAACCCTATAAAACCATAAACTCATAACCTTAAAAAACTGACGTGATGGGGTTAAACGGGCCCCGGATTCGAATTCAGCGACCCCAAAAACATGTAGAAAACATGATCTGATCCCCAGACCCGAAAATTTTTTGTTTTGTGTGGCTATAAATTATAGCGTTTTTTAAGATTATGTAGCTATTGCATTATGAGGTTATAAGGTTAAGGATTTGGAGTTAGCAGCTAGACTGTTGTATTTAAAGTTTGAGTCGCAGTGTTATATGTGTTAAAAAGAGCTGAAAAGCCTCAATTATTGGGTTTTGTGAGGTTATGGCAAAACCCTGACAAAATAGGGTAAAATGGGACCCAGTTTCAAATTCAAACACGGTGTGATCCCCAAACCCGTAAAATTTTTGTGTGGCTACAACTTTTAGTAAACCTAGTTTATCATGAATAACTAAATTTAACAGATATGATTTGACAGCGTCATTTAGAGTTCTTCCACGATCGTTTGAATATAATCATGGCCAAATAATTGGCGTGGCGCTGTTAATTTAACGGCTCTAAAAACAAATTATTATTATTATTATTATTATTACAACATATAACCCTATATTTTAACTATTTTCACAAATTAGTAAAAATTAATATTCGCTAATGAAATGTTTAATATGTATATTGTACCAAGAAATAAAAGTATTTTAGGATTTGGATATTATGATAACAATTTCATTTTTAAAAAAGAAACTTTAAATAATTGAAGTATAAATGGAACCATACTTGGGAAAATAAAAAAAAAATGATTGAATTGTTACATAAAGTATCATTGTATAGCATATTACAATTAGTGATGGGTCTGACAGGCTAACCTGAAAAGTTGACTAGTCCAAACACACCTTTCAAAAGTGGAAAAGTGTATTGCGCGTGCGCGAAATTAAATTAACTAATTCGTCTAAATTTCTTACAAAGGCAAAATTTAGTTTAAATAAGAAAAGATAAATGTTTACTGACGTTTATAATGTTTTAACGATGTTTTCGAAATTCGTTTCATATCTTATTAAAATAAAAACAAAAAATCCAAAAGTTGGAAGTATTTTACAAATGATTTACCTAAAAAAACGGAAATACAAATGCAAATATTGTTCCCAAAATGTTTTTGAAAAAAACATCCATGATGAAGATTTAACTGTGTGTCTTCTATGCTCAAGTTCGACTACTTTTCATTACTTTTCACTACTTTTCCGGACATGTCCGTCGGACTAGTCTAAAATTTACTTTTCATGAAAAGTCCCATCTCTAATTACAATACTAGTCATCTTCTAATAATAGATAGTCCATTAACTTTCAAAATTGAAGTCTACTGATGCATTTTAATAAACATCTTTTAACTTTGCATGTTTTATTGATAACTGTTGCCCGCGGCTTTGCACGCGTAGAGTCGTGTTTTTTAGTTTATATAAAAAAATACACGACTGTCCAAAAAAGGAGCGACAATGTGTTTTTTAGGGTTCATGGTATGTATGTGATAGTATTATTATAGATTAGAGTTAAGTAGAGTAATCTAATATTTAAGTATAGTAATCTAATTAAGAATATCTTTGTATACCGCATTTCTGGTATGGCTCTCATCTGCTAATATCACAAAATTGCTTGCGGAACTGATTGTCTAACAGGCCATATAGAACTGTCCGTGAGAAAAGCAGTCTTCCCTTAGGCCGTCGAGGTGTCGAGATATGTCGTTTTTATCAATACACTGACTGCAAATAATGAAAATATTCGTCTCCAAGAGAGCGTGATTGTAGTTGAAATAGCTTAATACATAGCACATACCGAAGCATTTTCATAGCCCTATTTATGGAGAACTGTAGGCAAAATAGATCCTATAACGTGGTGGCAGGGATATTGTTCTAATTAAGGATTTAGCAGTTAGCATTTTGACGCTTCCGCCTTCGCCAGCAGCGACTGAGCGAACATTTAGTAGAAATCGTTTGAATGTGAAGAGAGCAGAAATCTATGTTGCTGGCAACCTTAACCACAGCTCCTTTAAATCTGTCAAAGGTCAATTTTTTATATAATGAAAGTTATCGATGTATTCCATACACTTTATCAACGCTCTGAATACATAGGCACGTTTGGCGTTATTATTGCTGACCACACATTATTGCACTCTTTTAGCCACACGCTTAATATTCACCCACTTTTAAGTGCTATTTTATGACGCGCCTTTTTGTCCAAGAGCTATAAGTTCCGCGCAATTTTGTCTTTTTTAACATAGCCATATTTTAAAGGCAACCCTGTACTGGACAATGTATAGTAAAATTGCTAGACTTACCGGATATAACCATTTGGTTGGTTGTAGGCAACGGCCCCCCTGACGAAACAATAATCTGCCTCTGCTGTGTTAACAACACCTGCTGATTATTATGATCCATCATGATTTGATGAGATAAGGGACTTTGCGTCTGAATTTGCATTTGAGGTGAATTATCAGTTACGATTTGCGCAGGAGTATGTCTTTGTGCTTCCTGCATAAGTTGTTCTTCGTCCTCGTCTTCGAGAATGTCTGCAGCTATATCAGCAAAAAGTTTAGCTGCTGCTGTAGAGACAGTCGAGGGCCCATCGTCACCATTGGAGCTCGAGGAATCTGGTGCTAGTGAGTCTGCCATAGAGGAACCGTTAATATTACTCGATAGAAGGGCTCTTTTTGCTTCGATTTCCACGATTTCATCAGACGAACTACGTTTTAAAGCACCCTATAAAAATGTTAGAAATTGTAGAAAAAAAAAAAGAACTATTTATTCTTTTTACTTAATTTAAGATTTTTTATTGGTTTTGTAATCAATACTTTTTTAGTGAATACCTAGAAGGTAATTATTAGTGGCAATGTTTCTAAATTGTTAAAGATATAATTTTAAATTAATTTTTTGTTTTTATATATAAGATTAATAAGTGTTAAAAAAAATTCATAAAAATAATTACTATCTCCCTTTCCAGAGATTCTTCATTTACCTCAACATCCATCCTAACACACTTTTCCGGACTATTTTCCATCTCTCTACTAAGTGCTTTCTCAATGTGATTCTCAACCAAATCCATGGTCTTTTCTCCCAGTCTTAACTCTTTTCCAAGCCCGCCATTCAAAAGCGGCGGACTCTTTTCAAACTTTTTTTCTAATAGATCAGCTAACCTAAGGGGTTTATTCACACATATTTCACTACTAGAAATTTTTACAAAATCTTTGGAATTACTATCTTCGTTAAGGGCATTTTCTATAGTTGGAATGCCGTTAAGTAGGCCTTCGAAACTCGTTAAGGAATTGTCGCCATCCTCTGTTGAAGATACGCCTCCTATACCTGGAATAAAATTGTATATTCGATATAGAGTTCATTGAAATAGAATTAATGAATATATAAAAAAGCATTTCTTACCTACTGTCCCTATTCCCGAGCTAGATGCCAAGGAATTATTACCAATAGAATCACTATCTTCGTTGTCTATTCTTTGCGGTCTCCCCCCCTTAACGTTGTTGCTGAGTGGCGCCAGAGGTGGAGGAGGAGGTTGGGGAGGTTCTTTCTTGCCTTTCGTCAGGTCAGTGAACTGGGTGGTAGAAGAAACGGAAGGATCACCAACATCGTTATCGGTGAATAGTTGCCTGACTCCATTCAATCTTCCTGGTTTCATGGCGTCCTTGATGGGCGTTTTGTTCAGACCATCCAGTGATGGTTGTTGGCTTTGTTGGGCTAGTAGTCGTTGTTGCCTAGCCGCTACCTGAAGGTATAGAAAATAATATGGTAAAAGCATTACATTTTTGATTTAAATAATTGATAAACTGAGGTTGTCCAAGTCTAAAGTTTCTGTTTATTTGAAAATAAAATAATGTGACTTTTATCATTTTTTCTTTTTCCTGATATATCTTATATGCAAGGTGCAGTAGCGGCTGTACAGCTCCAAAACGGCCAAAAAGTATATCATCTACATTTCACAGAAATTATTTTAGACATTCCAAAATATATGTAAAATAGATTTTATTAAAAATAGTAAATAGTGTATGTACTTTGCACCGCTTGGGCCGCCGCCATTTCATAGTCTCCTTTAGTTGTTATTAGTTAAGTTGGGACAGACAAGTTCCATTCACTCCTTTACTCCAAACGACCCTTTCAGCGTTCGGTTTAGTCCGATTAGTGACAGTTCAACACGCTTAAATGTCATTTAAAAGCATCCTAAAAAAATCCGCGCTCCTGTCCCGTTCCAGCCTCTGGCCAAACCGAACGCTACTATAGTAGTCTTGATAGGCATATGTCTTGTCAAAAATATTAATTAAACAAAATGGCTGCCAATACGTAATGACAGGTTTTGATATAACAACCCTGTGGGTCTGCTGATTTGACAGGGTCAATGATATAGATAGTTATATAAATTAATCAAATGTTTAGACTGAAAATTGGTTTTAAAACACATTTTTGCTAAACCGATTCTCGCAAAACGGCCCGCTTTGAGTAATCTATATAATAATGTATCATTGACCCTGTAACGACAGCAGACCCGCAGGGTTGCCATATCAAAACCTGTCATTACCCACGGGCAGCATTTCGACAGGTCGTCGGAATACTTATTAACAAGTTTGCAAACAGTGAAACTTTCTTGTCAACAGTATTTTGTTCAAAAATAAAAAAAGGTATATTGAACTATTCTACTTTAAAATTTTTCAATACATATTTTTTTTTATTTTTGATCAAAATACTGTTGACAAGAAAGTTTCGCTGTTCGCAAACTTGTTAATTTACCTTTTTGGCAGGCTTATGTCTATCAAGAGTACTTATAACAACTTAAGGAGATTAATAGTGCGGGCGCCCCAAACGGCGCAGGGCACACATACTATTTACTATACCGTGAGCACCATAAGTCTTACCCCCTATCTAACTCGTTACTGGAGTCTTGTTAGGAAAATCGCCGAGACACGTCGATTTTTGATTTCTACAGTGTACATTTTTGTATGAATAGTTTACCCTTGCTTTCATCCCTTACTGGAGGGGAGCAACCCTTTCGAAAAATTTAAATGGCATGGGGTGGTGAATGATAGCTCATTTGAAAGAGGGTTTTATTCTCTATTCAACCATGAAATTTGCTTCATTAATTCTCGACTAATTGTTGTTTCAGAATAACGGAAATTAACGTAGCGCACTCATCCTTAGAATTAAAATTCGGCCCTGCATGATTTCGGTTTTGGTTCAGCCGTGAAGTAAGACTTTTTGCCATTAGAAGGTCACTATTAGTGTTGCTTTCCTATTTTGTGAGGTTTTGTTATTTTTAAACATTAATAAATCAACACGTAATGAAGCAAATTTCAAAATTTTTTACATGGTTGAATAGAGAATAAAACCCTCTTTCAAATGAGCTATCACTCACCACCCCATGCCATTTAAATTTTTCGAAAGGGTTTTCCCCTCCAGTAAGGGATGAAATTAAGGGTAAACTAATCATACAAAAATGTACATTGTAGAAAACAAAAATCGACCTGTCTCGGCGATTTTCCTAACAAGACTCCAGTAACGAGTTAGTTAGGGGGGGGTAAGACTTATGATGCTCACTGTATTATAAATAAAATTAATGTGATTATCCATAAAATCTATTTTACATATATTTTAGAATGTCTTAAATAATTTCTGTGAAATGTAGATGAGTTACTTACTTTTTTTGGCAGTTCTGCAGCTCTACAGCATTTATGCACCAGTCGCCACTGGCAAATTGTCAACTGTATTTAATCAATAAAAGTTATAGATGAACCTTCCAGTAATAAAATCCGTAGTAAATAGGTTGTCATTCTCTACAATTATAATCAAAACAACATTTTCTTTAAAGGGTGCCCTCTCATTTGTTGCCATTTTTTGATAGTTTATTTATAGTTTATATTTGAGTAAAACATCTCTCGAATCAGACACACAAATGATTTCAGGCGTTGTTGACAATATTTTGCATTCTAGTCATCTCACAAACTATCAAAATATTAAAAAAAAAAGTGAGGGCGACTGAAAAAAGTTGGAGGGAAGTTCAAAGAAATATTTTTTAAAAGGGTTGTCTTGTTTATATTTTGTAAAGAGTAACACTGCATTTATTCTGGATTTTACTATCACTAACCATTTTGAATAATAATAAATCTTGATTTATCCTTCAATGATGTAGGATAAACCATGTAGCATATAATAAATACATAAAAGACACTAAATGGCAGTTAGAACTGAGTTCATACAAGGTTTTAAGTGTTTTGGAACTATTATTAGTTCACCATCTATGCTTGACATTCATGATTTTTTGGAAAATTACCTATATTGTTTTTAATTTATTAAATAGATTTATACAGTATTGACTATCGAACACCTTTCAATATGCATTGCATAAGTGTATGTAAAAACTACAAAGATTTAGCATTAGGGCGAGTAGGAAACGAATGTCAGTTTACACGGCCCGGCCAACGTTACAACGCGGTCGGGCCGTATAAACTGGCAACGCTGATATGATTTGTTTCCTGCTCGTCGCAATGCTAAATTTCTGTAGGTTTCACATGAACTTGTGTAAGATGTATTGGAAAACGTTCAGTGTATATTATGTACTTATAATGGCCGAATAGATAAAATTTTAGATATTTAGTGATCTATACAGGTTTACCTGGAATCTAGGTTGAAACTGATACAATGAATCCATTTTTAAGCAATAAATTCAATAATTCATTGGAACAATATCCAAATAATAACGCTAGTGCGTTTTAGTATAAAAACAGTATGCATAGTAAATCGGCTTTTGTGTCCTAATTTTTAAATATAATTAGTCGATATAGAAAAAAAGAAAAAACAATGTAGCCAACCATCCAATTTGTTACTCAACACATTAAAATCGTTTGATATGGCAGTTTAGATTGCTGGATTATGAATATCTGAAACACTAATTTTATTTGGTTTGTATAACATTTTCCTCTAAATATAAACTATTTTTTTTAATTTGAAGTTGTATAGACTGTAAAATTAAAAAAAAATACTCATATTTAAAGAAATGAATCATTCAGGAATACTGAAAACTAGACAAAACTAATTACCAGGTAAAGTTTCTGGATTATAGTATTAAATAACCAACTAAGTATATAGTGGGTCAACAAGTTTTCATAGTATCCAATTATCCAATATTGTTTCTTGAATTCAATAAAAATTTGTTTTTTTAATTAAAAATATTAATTTTGAAGAAACCTAGTAGAATGTCAAGTATTTTATATTACGATTTATCTCACAAAAAAAAAAACACAAAATTAATTTTTGAATAATTAGTTATGCTGACATTAAAGGTATGTTAGTTTTGAACAAAAACAAATCATGCATCAACAGAATTTACTTTCAAATTCATTGCTTTTACTAGTTAATAATTATTGTAATTCAAATATTTGGAACATACAAAATTACCAATGTTTTTGATAGCACATTTAATTTGTATATTCACGTCAAACTCCGTTCATTGGAATACGTAAAAAAACATAAAAAAAATAGTAATAAACCCAAACATTTTAATTTTAACATCAATACTTTTTGCATAAAAATGTGTCCCAATTTGGTAGTTTTTAGCAATTTTGAGCAATATTAACAACTGAAATTGTTACCACTATTTCTTTTGATGCCGTAATATAAAAATGTTAATTTATTATTAAAGTCAGAGATCTTTCAATAAATAGCATTAGATATGATTAAATATTGCAATTTTTAGTTTGGTGTAGTTACGCATTTTGGCATGAATTTAATTTAACCAAGAGCTGGCCGCCGAAATACTTCTTGGTTATGCATTTTTTTAAAGCTTGTTTGAGTATCTTTAGTTGCTTACATCCATTATTATCCAGATTTATAATTCCTTGAATGGTCAGTAAATAGGGGTTCTATTGTTAATTATGTAACAAGGTTTGTGTCATTTATGAGCTGAGAATAGTTTCCAAACTGATACACTTACAGTTCTCACAAACGCTTTGTTACTTATTGGACATAACTTTATTGGACTGATAAATTATTCTTTCAATAACTAAGTGTACCAGAAATAGGTCAGTTCTACAAACATTGTGTATGTATGTATAAACAAATTATAGGAAGACAAAAATGTGAGCTTATTTAATATTTTATTATCATGAAAGTGTTCATTGTAAAAACATGCAAAATAGAAATCGACTTTTTTTTTTTTTTTTTTTTTTTTTTTTTTTTAATTATAAAATATACATTTTTTTAAAATAAATTTCCTAACAGTTGTAATATCGGTACGAAAATGTATGCTAGATAACTATCGCAGGATTGTATTTATTTAACTAGGTTTAAATTATGCTCACTAGATGTATTTTGAAAATTTAACCTCGTGAAGGCATTTTTAATCTGTTTTATATTTTATATTTAAAATTGTTTCTAAATTCACTGTCACTATTCTTTCTACCAAGAAGATGGCTAACAACGATTATAATTTCAACAACTTCCTCATTGGAAGAATCAGACGAGCTTCAATAATTAATTTTGAGTAGTATTATTTGAAATGTCAAATTATGATTTGCTTCCTGCACATGCCTCATACTCATTGAACATATGCTACCACTTTTGGCAAGATAATTCTTTGAAGTCAAGTACAAAGGGCTTAAGTCACAGTTTTGCAAAATTTTTAAGTCAGAATTTTATGCCCACTGAAGTGGCATTATAGGCTTAATTCTAATACCCTTTGTTAAAACGTAGTGAATTGGTATAAGATAAGTCAGAAAAAATTTATAATGTCCCATACTAACGTCTCAAGTTTACATTTTCTGGAAAACAGAAATTTTTGATTTAAGTCGATAACCGATAGATTAGATTTGAAAGGGGTTGTACATTATTTGTCCTTGTCCACACGACCTTTTTAGATCTACTGTGGGACTCCGTTTCTTAGAGTATGTCGTCTAGCTTGATCTTTTCCGATAAACAATACTCTTGTAGTACGTTTCAGAAACAAAATTTTTCTAGCTACGGATTTGTATGCTATTGAAATATCAACGGTATTTCGATCGCCAGCTTCGATTTGTTAAAAATTGACTTGTCATATTAGTAATGGTGAGCAAATCGAAAATAAATTGATTTGGCATTATATTCATGGTCACTCAAATCATTTTTTTTTAAAGCGACAACCCATTGTAAGAACTATCGTTAAATTCATCAGACTGATAAACTTTGACAGAACTTGAAAACTGTAAATATCTAAATGACAACTTAAAAATACTCAGAATTTAACACCTATCAAAGTTTATCAATCTTGTACATTTTAATGAACGTTATGGCAATTGGTTTATCTTTTAATTAGGTGATTTTATAAATAAAAATCTGATAAACTGGATAATAAAGAAAATATTAGTTTTTTATTGAAAGATCTCGGTAAGTGAGCAAAAAAGGTAATTGCTAGTGTATTAGTGTGTTACCTGAGCTACATTTTGACAGTCTGTGGCAGTCCTCATGCTCACTGTTGACATGCAATCGTTTACCTTTGTCGCCAGAAGGCTTTTTATGAGCGACGTGTTACTTGTTTGACCTGATGATTGGATCTCTTTCGTACCACCACTACTACCAACAGTTACAGTCGATGTACAGGGTACAGTTGTCGCTGATGTGCAGCCTAGGAGTGCTTGGCTAAGGTGCGGATGTGCCATAGCCTTTTATGTAAATAAAATTATGTAGTAACAATTTGTTACAAAAGACTACAGAGTTCAGGATGTCAGATAGGATAATTATTAGCGGTTTCAGGTATAAATTGACAATGAGAGTGGTAGGGTAATTTAGAAATGAAGAAAGAAATAGTTTTTATTTATACAACTCGTGTATCGCATTCGTTGCATTTTCGTTGTTGTGACCGACATTTGTGACATTTCAAAAAAAAAATTGATAATAATCATCACTTATATTATCCTCGAAAATTTTTTGAAAAAATTACTAACGAAAATGTAAAAATTATGTAGGCAAAGTTCATTCAAAAATATTTAACTATTGTAAATGAACTTATGAGACAATAGAACGTATAAAGAAGCTAAAAATAAAAAAAACTAACCATATTCTCTTGGCAATTAGAAAAATTTGCGATATTTAAAAAATATACATATCTTGTGAAATATAAAAAAGACTATTTCTTTATTCACCTCTAAATTTTAGGTATAAATTGATTTTTTCCTAAAAATTCATAAAAAAACTTTAAACTTTGTTAATTACCAAATGAATTTAGTAAATAAAATCCTGAGGAGTTGAAGAGAATGTAGATGGTTTTTAATTGCGCTATGTATTTGATAAAGTGTTTTATGAGTTAAATCGATTTTAAATGAACAAATACCTGGAATTAAAATCGAATATTAATTATATGGTGTGTCAATTAGCATTATGGATAAAATAAACACCTTTTACTTGCAAACTAAGAAGCATAACCTTCACGTTTATAATTAAAACTGAATACAATTAATAAGCAAATCCTTCAAAAACGATATATCTAGTCAGGAGCAGTATGCTAACATTACAACAACTCTTCCACTATCGGGAGATTAAAAGTTTGTACTGACTGGGATAAATTCAGTTTTCCAACAATTGCTGCATAGTGGTATTAAAAATAATAAAATTAATGAATATATAAAATGTACAAAGAAATTAACAATAAATATTAAAAGTGAGGCTTGGAAAATGTTCACAAGCAGAGGCGCCACTGAACTGGGTGGATACTCGACTCCTTAATCTTTAATTTGAAACTCAAAATAATTCTATAAAAATACAACAGTTTCCTAAATGTGAAAGATTCATTTAAAAATCGATCAATTGAATATTGAAACCATTTAATGAACAATCCGAGAAAAAAATATTATGTCTTTGCTTCAACGGCCTAAAACTTCTTAGAAACAAAAATTGATCAAAACTAGAATAAATGTCAGTTGTTAGGAATATGTACAGTTGAAGAAATCAAATTGTGAACGCCAAAATTTCATGGTGTGATTTAGACTCTGCATCAAAGTCGTTCGTTGCATTTAATAGTTCTTAAAAATGGTCAAATAAATTTTCAAAAATTTAACATTTAACTGAGGTTTAAAAGTCGAAGGTATAGCAAAATTGGGAGAAAATTGGTATGTATATTTTACTCTGGCAAGAAGAACAAAGAATGCGAAGACCTTTCAGAGGAAGATCTCTAATAAAAATGAAGGTAATTATCTCGTAAACATCTATCAAAATACTTTTGGAACCGTTGTAAGTACGAGAAGAAACTGGTGAGATGCATAAAACGTAATACATGCAAATACTTCAACTATCTCCTTCGCACATGAAGTATCTACTATAGCAATGTAGCATTTACTTCGTTCAAATAGTATTTATTCTTATGTACCTTATACATAGAAGAACGTACTTCACCTTAGAAGTAGCTACTCCACAATTTCATAGCAAATCATATAAATGGGATGCTTAGTAGTATTTACTTCAGTTTATGTGAAGTTGATCTATGAGGAACTCCACCGACTGTATATTAGTAATAATTTTAGCCAATGCCTTCTTTTCGCAAATGATTTAAAGTTTTTTGGTAGAAACACTGGTAATAACACCGCATTACAGCCTGACCTAAACAGGTTTGCTACCTGGTGTAAAAATAACGCTTTTTCTATAAATATTTCTAAGTGCACAACCATACATTTTACAAGATCCCACAATCCTACTCTTAACTGTTACAGTATTGACAGCGTCAACCTAGTTAGATCCTCGACAGTTATTGATCTGGGCATTATTTTTGATAGCACAATATCTTTTAACAACCATATAGATTCCATAGTATGCAAAGCCTTCAGAATGCTTGGCTTCATCAAGAGACATGAATGACACAAAAGCAATCATGACACTTTACAATGCCCTGGTGAGAAGTGTCCTGGAATACTGTTCTGTTATTTGGCAACCTACTTACACCTGTCATATCAATAGAATTGAAAGGGAGCAACGAAAATTCGTAAAATACATGCTCTTTAAACAACGATTTCATAGCCATAACACATGTTATCAAATAAGATTAATGCTTTGCGGCTTGCAGACCCTGGAATGTAGAAGAAAACTATTGCTCCTTTTCCTGGATAAATTAATAGGTAGTTCTATCAAGTGCGTGTCACTGCTTGAGAGAGTTCAACTATTGGTTCCTGCCCAACGGACTCAGCACACATCACTTTTGAATGTAAAAATACACTGAACCAATTACGGATAAAGTGCACTCATTGATCGCTTATGCAAGAACTATAACAAATTTTACTCGGACTGTGACTTGCAACTCCTGAATGTCTAAGTTTTACTCTTTTCGTCCCGCGGTGTTGTGTAATTCTTCCTTTTTTTAATATTTTATATATACTTTCTATTTTATATTGTTTTTAACTCCTACAATTCTTTGTTAGATATACTGTACTATTTGGACTTTTACACAAAATTAAATAAATAAGTTATGCCAGTAATCAAATACCCGGTTACATTCACAATTTTGTGTTGAATTCTATTTAATATTTTTATCTTAATTACTATTGCCTGACAACTCTTTTAATGATTTTGTTAAGGTTAAGAGTTAAAGAGTAGCTTCAGCTATCTTCACCTTCTTGTTGCAAATGTAATGTAATAATTTATTTAATAGAGACATTAACATTATCTATTTTCTTCTATTATTAAATAAATATAATTATATATATATATATTTTATTTTTTTTTTTTTACCGTAATTAGAATAATTAATTCATGTAATTAGGATAATTAGATAATAGTGTATATTGTGTACAGCGAAACAAGTACTCACGTACTTATTGCTTCTTACTTTATTCTTGTAAATAATGTTTAATTGTTTCTAAAATTATTTATATTATATTGTATTTGTATACCTACATGAATAAAGTTATATTATTATTATTATTATTATTATTATTATGTTGATTGCTAGCTTTGCAAAATATTTTCTTGGCGATGCCGTAGAAACAAGGGCTTAACATACTGTGCTTTGAGAACCTTAGGTAGTAGTTTCTTCGAGTCAGTAGTATGTTAATCTTAAGTGAAGTAGGTACTTTGTATATCAAAGAAAACACTATGTAGTAGATACTTCTTCATAGAGCATTAGCTCAAATTCGTTTAAAACAAGCTGGTTTAAAAAACTGCGCTGCTGCACGTAGTTTAACTGCAGAAAATAAATGCAGAAGAGGCCAGTTTAAAAATAAATGTTTAATTCATCAAGAGGAATTTTGCAACAACTTGGTATTATCCGATGGAAAGACGTTCCAATCTTCTAACATCAAAAGGTTACAAGTTTGTCGTCCTAGAAACTCAATATTTGAAGAGAATTTTAATTTGTGTACTACTAATAGTGGCCGCTTTTCCGTCAATGTTGAGCGTGGATAAGCGTTAACGATTCTGGAATGTGCTGGCAAATTGATGGGCGATTAACAGTCAATCATTACATAAACATCTTAGACCATCTGTAAGAAAACTTTTTCCTGACAATTTTACCTTTCAACATGTAATTCATACGACTTGAATAGTAAGAGAGTGGGTTAACAAAAACAACAATGTTTTGTCATGTTCGGCAAAACGTCCTGAACTGAACCTCATTGAAAATGTATCGGGCTTCATATTAAAAAATATATACCGGAAAACCGCGGTCAACTATGGGAAAATATTAAAAATGCTTAATCTTACAACATGCAACATTTAATTTTCGAATGCCAAAACGATGGAAAGTGTTGTGGCAACCAATAGCTTTGCAATAAAATAAAATAATTCTGGCTATAGTTGTTAAATTTCGAGGAGAGCATTGTTTTCATTTTCATTATAGATAGAGGTACGTAATTTTCGTTTTTACGAAATAGAAGCGATAGATGCGAAATTCACGTAATTTATGCGATAAATACGAAATATAATATTTTGTGTATTTATTAATTTTTCGACAAAATTTCGAAGAAAAACATTTTTAAAGGCAATAAACACGTGAATTTTCTAATATTACGAGCTTGGATAAATTGTCTTTACATATGACACATTGCACATTGGCAATTATTTTGCCCATCAGTAGCAGCGGCCGTGACCACTTCATCTCTGGACACTAACTCAACACTGAAGAGCATCTCCAGAATACCATTTTTTAGAGATATACCATAGGATGAACCCTTAAGTGGACATGCTCATTTCCATAGACAACTCGTCAATGTGGTTCAGAAAGAAACTCCTGTTAACGTCATGCATATTTAACTTGCATCAAAATGTTGCTACCTGAAGTTCGCGAATGTAGCTATACAAAGTCTTCATAGCCCAATCAACAGTGTAGATGCTGAAAAATATTTCAGTATCTACAATGTCGTCATAAATGACCAAATACAAACACTTAATTAAGCAAGACAATATAGAGACAACCACGATGTTAGCTTTTAACTAACTTTTCTGTAATAAATATAATGTTATTTTAATGATTATAGTAATAAATACGAGTTTTTAAATATTTTTCGTTTTTTTTATGCGAATAAATGCGAAATTTTGGATTTTTAATTTATATTTATGTGAAATTTCGGTTTTTTAGATGCGAAATATACGTAACCCTAATTATAGACCATCCCTACACCTTATCTGAAAGGTCTTCACAAATCTTTGTTCTTGCCCAGCATTTCTTAACGTAAAATATGCA